ACTAAGCCTAGTACCCAATAGTTGTTTTTTCTGCTCCTTTTCCTCCTTCCATCCTCCACCCTCAAGTAGGCCCCAGTGACTGTTGTTCTTCTCTTTGTGTCCATGTGTTCTCATCATTTAGTGCCCATAGGAGAACTTGTGGTATTTGGTTTTCTGTTCCTGTGTTAGTTTGCTGAGGATAATGGCCTCCAGTTCCATTCATGCTCCTGCAAAAGACATGATCTCATTCATTTTATGGCTGTGTAGTATTCCATAGCGTATATGTACCACATTTTTTTTATCCAATCTACCATTGATGGGCATTTGGGTTGATTCCATGTCTTTGCTATTGTGAATAGTGCTGCAATGAACATCCATATGCATGTGTGTCTTTATGATAGAATGATTTATTTTCCTTTGAGTATATACCCAGCAATCGGATTGCTGGGTTGAGTGGTAGTTCTGTTTTGAGCTCTTTGAGGAATTGCCACACTGCTTTCCACAATGGTTGAACTAATTTACACTCTCACCAACAGTATATCAGTGTTCCCTTTTCTCTGCAACCTTGCCAGCATTTGTTATTTTTGACTTTTTAGTAATAGCCATTTGGACTGATGCGTGATGGTATCTCATTGTAGTTTTATTTTGTATTTCTCTAAAGATCAGTGATATTGAGCTTTTTTTCATATGCTTACTGGTCACATGTATGTCTTGTTTTGAAAAGTGTCTATTCATGTCCTTTGCCCACTTTTTAATGGGGTTGTCTTTTTTTCTTATAAATTTGCTTAAGTTTCTTACAGATGCTGGATATTAGAGCTTTCTTTGTCAGGTGCATAATTTGTAAAAATTTTCTCCCATTCTGTAGGTTGTCTGTTTACTTTGTTGATAGTTTCTTTTGCTGTGCAGAAGCTCCTTAATTGAATTCTATTTGTCAATTTTTGCTTTTGTTGCAATTGCTTTTGGCATCTTCATCATGAAATTTTTGCCAGTTCCTATGTCCAGAATAATATTGTCCAGGTTGTTTTCCAGGGTTTTTATAGTTTTTGGGTTTTACATTTAAGTCTTTAATTCATCTTGAGTTGATTTTTGTATATGGTGTAAGGAAGGGATTCAGCTTCAATCTTCTGCATATGGCTAGCCTGATTAGACAATTATTCTAGCACCATTTATTGAATAGGGAGTCCTTTCCCCATTGTTTATTTTTGGCAGATGGTTGTACGTGTGTGGCCTTATTTTTGGCCTCTCTATTCTGTTCCATTGGCTATGTGTCTGTTTTTGTGCCAGTACCATGCTATTTTGATTACTGTAGCTCTGTAGTATAGTTTGAAGGTAGGTAGCATGATGCCTCCAACTTTGTTCTTTTTGCTTGGGATCACCTTGGCTATTAAGTCTGTTTTGATTCTGTATGAATTTTAAAATAGTATTTTTTCTAGTTCTGTGAAGAATGTCATCGGTAGTTTGATAGGAATAGGATTGAATTTATAAATTGCATTGGGCAGTATGGTCATTTAAACGATATTGATTCCTCTTATCCATGAGCACAGAATGTTTTTTCATTTGTTTGTGTCATCTCTGATTTCTTTAAGCAGTGTTTTGTAGTTCTCATTATGGAGATCTTTCACCTCCCTAGTTAGCCGTGTTCCTAAATATTTATTATTTTTGAGGCAGTTGTGAATGGGATTGCATTCCTGATTTAGCTTTCGACATGACTGATGTTGGTAAATAGGAATGCTGGTGACTTTTGTACATTGATTTTGTATCCTGAGGCTTTGCTGAAGTTCTTTATTAGCTGAAGGTGCTTTTGTGCTGAGACTATGGGATTTTTTAGATATAGGCTCCTGTTTTCTGCAAACAAGGATAGTGTAAATTTCTCTCTTCTCATTTGGAAGAGAGAAACAAACTCTCTTTTGTTACTTTCTTTTATTTCTCTCTCTTGTCTGATTGCTCTGGCCAGGACTTTCAATACTATGTTGAATGGGAGTGGTGAGAGAGGACATCCTTGTCTTGTGCCAGTTTTCAAAGGGAATACTTTCAGGTTTTGCCCATTCAGTATGTTGGCTGTGGGTTTGTCATAGATAGCTCTTACTATTTTGGAGGTATGTTTCTTCAATACCTAGTTTATTGAGAGTTTTTAACATGAAGGGATTTTTGAATTTTATCGAAAGCCTTTTATGCATCTATTTAGATGATCATATGTTCACTAATCTTTTCTTTTTCAGCCTAATGTTTTGCTAGCCCTATTCAATGTATTTCTTATATCTTTTATGGTGGTTTTTATCTCTAGAGGTTAAATTTGGATCTTTTTCATGTCTTCCATCTTACTACTTAACTGTTTTAACATGTAGCATACCATTTTAATAACTGTGTTAATGTCTTTGGCCGATAATTCTAATGTTTTTGTCAGTCTAGGCTGGTATTTATTCATTGATTTATCTCTTCACCATTGGTCATATTTTCTTGCTAATTTTCATGTTTGATAATTTTTTATTGGATGCCAGACATCTGGTTTTGACCTTCTTATGTGCTGAACATTTTCGTACTCCTGTAAATATTCTTGAGCTTTCTTATGGGATGCATTTAAGTTACTTGGAAACAATTTGATCCTTCAGGTCTTGCTTTTAATATCTAGTAGGCATACTTGATAAATTTTTAGTCTGGAACCAATTATTTCCCACTAGCGAGGCAAGGCTCTTCTGTGAACTCTACCCAATACCCCACAAATCATAGGCTCTCTTAGTTTTTATGGTCTGTGGTGAGTGCAGGATACTGTCTCCTGTAATATTCTTGACTGGTTCTTTTTGTCACCTCAGGGGGCTTCACCACATGCATGTGGTGATCAGTATTCAATTGAAGACTCAACGGGGACTCTCTGTAGGTGTCTGGATTTCTCTCTCCGTGTAGCTGTCTCATCTCTCAGACTGTTATGTGAACTCTTAGCCACCTTTGTATCTCCAGAATCCCAGCTCTATCTTCTCAAATCAGGGAGTCTGCCAGTTCCACCTGGTTTCCATAAATGTTAGTTTTTTTTAACGCTGCATAACAAATTACCACAAACTTAGCAACTTAAAACAGCATAGATTTATTATCTCAAGATTAGTGTGGGCAAGGAGTGTAGACATAGCTTAACTGTATGTTCTCTGCTTTAGGGTTTCACCAGCCTGTAATGCTAGCTTAAGTCTAATCAGAGGCATGACTAGGGAAAGATCTGAACCCTCAGGATGTTGACAGAATTTGTTTCTTTGTGACTGTTACTAACGGTTTTGACTTTTTCCTGGATGTTGGCTAGAGGCCACCTGCAGTTCTCTGCCATGTTAGCCCTGTTCATAGGCAATTCACAAAATAGAAATTTGCTCCTTGAAGGCCAGCAGGAGAGGAAAAGCAAGTCTTTGTGCAGCCATATAAATCACTGGAGTGACATTCTGTCACCCATGCCATGTTCTATTGGTTAGAAGTAGGTCTCAGATCCCACTCACACTCAAGTGGAGGAGTTCTACAAAGGTGTGAACACCAGGAGCCAGGAATCATTTGAAGTCATCATAGGGTCTGTCTGCTATACCCTCTCTGTGTTGTGACCTGAAAACTCTCTCAAGACAGGAGGCTGGGACAATTGAAAGTCTTGTCTTGTTTTCCAATTCTCAGTGATTACTCTGTTCAGTGTCTTCAACACTGTCATTTTATATCATTTGTCCATTTTTTGGTTGTTTCACATGGGGCAGGAAGTGGGTATCTGATCCTTGTTATGCTATTTTGATCTGACAAGGAAGTCTGAACTCTGATTTTTAAATTTAGTTTTTCTGTCTGTTGTCAGGGTATGGAAGTGTTGTAGCTTTTAAAAAGTTGATATTATATTGAGATTCATTGCTTTACTTTTATTACCTCTATCTATCTAAAATTATTATTTTTCTTTCTCATCAGTACTCATACCTTTTATTTTTATTTCTGTTTTTAAAGTTATTAGATAGATGAGACCTGTGGTAAAATGCTAAAAGAAGCAGTGATAGTCTGCATCTTTTGTTGTTCTAAATTTTAATACAAATGCCTGCAATGTTTGAGAGAAATTCTCTTTTTTCATCTGTCCACTTTTAGATGTTTTTCAGTATCTTTACATTGATTTAAAAATTTTAAAAGTTTTTATAACTGCTGCTCACAGAGGAGTTTATGTAATCAATTCACTTCCCCATCATTAATAGGAGTATTCATCATTAACTTTTTAAAAATCAATTATAATTTGATTTATTAAAATTTTATGAGTTTTTTCAAATACAGTTCATCATCTTTGGTAGTTTTTTGTTCCTTTTTAATGTGTGTGTATGATATTTTAAGAAATATTTCATAGCTACTTAGTACACTGTAACTAGTACTGTGATATTAAAGTTTCTGAGTCTACTTCCGTTGGGTTTTTAAATCTTTTTGATCTTGTTCATAGGGACATGATTTAGGTTCACTTTACTGAATTAAAGTGAATTAGAGATGGTTTCCTGTAGAGAAGATTGCATTTGCTTCTACTGGATGTCAAGAATTCAACTAATTTTGGATAACTTTAGTCTCCTGGAAGGTCCTAAATTACTACAGAACACTCCAAATCAGCTTTCCAATTTTACTGACAACCCAAGATTGATTTCTTCATCTCAGGATTAGTACCAGCATTTGTCTATTGGTCAGCTCTGCCTTCCTTGTTCATGTATTCCTCATGGGCCTCAACTCCAGTTTGTGCTCCTCATTTAAAAAAAAAATTGTTTGCTCCATCTTTGGAATTTTCTTTATTTTTCTGGTGAGCTCATCAATTATAAAAATTCTGTTTCTTTTAATAAATGTAGCCTCTATTTGCACCTAGCAAGATGATGCTTTAGAATATCCAGTCCAATTTACTATCTTTTCTGACATTTGTCTTTACCTATGTTTCAGTGATCAATCTGAAGGACGTCCGGGCTAAAATCTGGCTAAAATGAGTCATGTGTCTACTTATCATTTTCTAAGGAGAAAACTATAGAAGAGAATTAACAACATATGATCAAAGGAACTTTACAGTTTATGTAATATTATTTTATTGCCATTTTCATTATATTCAGTAGAAACAGTAGTACTAGAAAGAAGAAAATGAGTTTTTAGGAACATAAAACTGGCTTTAAATATTTGAAAATCAGAGGAATTTTATGTTTACAGATTTCAAAAGGCTTTGATATTATATTTCAATGCAGACAGTAACTTACCATGTGATTTGGTTCATTAATAATTGGAGTGATGTTAAGATTTAAACATTTCATAGAATCTCAAATATGACATCAGGTACCACATTTTACAGGGAAAGCACTGTGATTCACCCACTAGTGAGTAAATAATAACTGGGATCTGTAACTATAACCTAGGAGTCCTGCGTTCTAGTCTAATAACTGTTCTCGAAACTATCATTAACTTTTTGGGTATAATAAACAGCAAGCTGCAGAGTAAATTGCACATACTAAAGAGTAAGCAACAAAACAAAGTGCACATGCTGTGCAATATGCAAAGCAACAGAATTAGCAATCTGAGACACAACTGAATACAAAATAAAACACACAGTTGTGTTTTGATTAAGGCTCTTTTCAGGCAATTTGCTTCAGCCAAGGCTGTGTAACTTCTCTGAGTTTCCATGTACTTTATAAGGCTCTCTTTGAATCCCTTTAATTTTTGATCTGATCCCACAGATCCACGTTTAGACCTCTGTATTAGGCTGTACAGCCCATTGGTATAGTGATCACCATTTTTCTCCATCAACAGATCCTCAATCAAGTCCATTAGCTCCTTCACTTGGTCATCCTGATTTCTCCCTTCAGCACGGTTATTAAAGGCACAGATTCTCCCACCACATGCTGCCACCAGCTTGCTTAGGGCTTTGTTATCAGAGTTGCGCGTGTAATCCATCAGGGAGCCACCACTGAGGTCTTCCTTGTGGGTAAAGAGGACAATTGTGTGTCCCATGGCATCCTCTCCAAAGATCTCCTTCACCCTCTGTGCAGCCTCCTGGTCCTGTGAGGTGTAGCGGCCCAGCTGAGTCACCAGGAGCAGCACATGGGGTCCTGGTGCGGAGAGCAAGTAGCACCTCTGCACCTCTTTGTACAGAGCTTCACAGTGGTCCTTCCAAGAAAACATATCTGGTGTGTCAATAATGACAATCTCTCTATCTCCCCAGCTTCCCTGACTTTTGCTGCAAGTCTTAGTCAAGGTCCGGGAACTCAGCTTCGATTCAAATGCTTGCTTCCTGAGGATGCTGTTCCCTGCAGCACTTTTGCCGGTTCCTGTTTTGCCCACAAGGATGATTCTCAGCTCAGATCTGCTGGCACATTGGCCCTTTGCATGTGATCCTGTGAGGAGCAAGTTTACTGTGTTTATCACCACATTGATCATGGCAGTGGAATTTTTTTTTTTCTTTTTCTGTCTTTTTTTTGAGACCAAGTCTCACTCTGTCATCCAGGCTGGAGTGCAGTGTCACAATCTAGGCTCACTGCAAGCTCCACCTCCTGGTTTCACGCCATTCTCCTGCCTCAGTCTCCCGCGTAACTGGGACTATAGGCGCCCACCACCGCGCCCGGCTAATTTTTTTTTTTTTGTATTTTTAGTAGAGATGGGGTTCCACCCCATGGTCTCGATCTCCTGACGTGATCTGCCCACCTCCGCCTCCCAAAGTGCTGGGATTACAGGTGTGAGCCACTGCGCCCAGCTGGCAGTGGAATATTTTTTAATGGTAAGGAGGTATTCCCCATTATGTAAAAGGATACTCTCATATCTATTTCATGTATGAAATGAAAACTAACTTGATTTCTCTAGGACTGCAGGATATTGCCATTTGGAGCCTAGGAAAACACACCTGGGGATGAGATGGATTTAGAAACATTTCTCATCATGTAGTGGTTGCCTGAATCACTCAGTCCTGGATCTCTAGAAGAAAAGTTCTCTGGAGATCAGAGATGTGTAGGCAAGGCCATGGGTTCCATCTCAATGTGGGTCAAGTGACCTGGCTCTGTTTCAAGGCCAGAGGTTTCTCCTCTGACCTTTGCTGGGCAGAGTGGGGTCATGACTACCAGGGAAGTGTCTAGACCAGCAAAATATTAGAATGAGCAGTGTAAAATTATTTTTATTAGTGAAGAAATAACTCAGATCTTATAAAGGATATCATAATTTTGCTTAGAAAGGATGGCATAATTTTTGTATAAGATAGTCACAGAATATGGTAAACTTCCCTCTCTCTTTCCCCATTTCCCTTCAACGTGGGTAAGATTCTGGGGGGAGGAGTGAATGGGGACAGAGGTATGAAGGAGCTTGAGACTTTAGGGAAAAAATGTGTTTCATTCATTCCCCCTAAAGGGGAAGGCATAGGAGCCATGGTGCCATTTCTGCTGGTCCACATGGCAGTGAAAGGAATGACTTGTCTAGGGCGGGTTCATGGAAGACTCAAGATGCAGCTTTGTAGTGGAGAGATGAGTTATTTAACTTGCAAGGTAGGGGTACTCTGACTCCTGAGGGTTAACTCCTTGATTCCTTTACTGTAAGGGAGGAACATTTGACCTGTATGAATGAAATGGAATACCATGATAACAGAAGAATCTTTCTGGAGGGAATATCCAAACAAACTAAGACTCTTCTGCTAAGCCCATTGCCTTTTGGGGTTTAGCTGTTCCTTACTCTCATGTTGCAGAAATAAAGTTGGGGAAAGAACGTCTACATTGACTACAGAATATCAGAGCTTAGAAGGAACTTAGACTGTACAAAGAAAATGAGCTTTCTGAGAGGCAGCATGCAGTGGTGAAGAATAAAGAATCTGGAGCTGGATTGCTTAGTTTTAATTGTCTTTCCATTGCTAGTCATATGATCTTGGACAACTGATTAATTTCTCTGCATCTGGAGAAGATGACGGTTTACTCCATGTGGTGGTGTTCTAAGTATTAAATAAGTTAATATATGTAAAGAACTTAAAAGAGTGCTGGTGCACTAAAGCACTTAGTGAAAATGAGGCTAGGATTGTTTATAGCAACCTCCTTATAGAGGAAGTAACTTGCATGCAGCGATTAAGTAACTTGGACAATGTCCTAAATAGTTAGTGAAATCTACCATTTATTGAGAACTTTTAATGTGCCAGGATCTGTTCCAAGTGGTTTACCTTCATTACCTAATGTACTCCTTCTAGCAATGGTATGAGTTAGGTGCTGCAATGCCCACCAGGGGTCTTGTTCTTATTTGGTTCAAATGACCTCTTGGGCTCACAGAACTGCCGTGGGCCTCACTGGGACACTAGTCTACTTTAATGGAAATCTTAGCTTGCCAGAGGGACAATGTTGGGCCTTCCACCTAGTGGAAGTCTATGCAGCAATTCATGGAACACTGCAAACTGTCACCTGGGGATGTCCCAGGGCAAGAAGATGGCATCTTGAGCAGTTAGAGAAGCCACCCGGACTCACAGGAGCCAGTGTCTCTTGTAGCAACCCTAGGGGTTTAGCTTCCAGATTCCCTGCAAGGAACATGAGAGTTACAAGAGTCACTCTGCTCAGGGAAGTTCCAAACAGCTTCCTAGCATGTATTTATAGTTCTTTCAGCATAGATATAATTCACCCATCAAGAGAAGTTTTCAACTGTAAGTAAGGTTCCTAATAATGTTATAGACATTTTACTCTTATTAAATTACTAGAGAATCTGAGCTAAAACGTTTAACCAAAGATTAAATTCTCAGGCAGAAAGGGAAATGGTTTGTCAACCTTTTTACCCATGGGTTTCTTTTATTCACCTTATTTTACACATGAATCTGCAACTTGGCCAAGAACTTAGAGCTATTAAAATTAACCAATTTTGTAAATGAAAAAGCTGGCAGTTGAACCAGCCCATTTTCTATGCCTGAAGTATTAGTGCTTTGCCATGCTGCTACACTAATACTTGTTGCATATATTTAAGTATTTTCTCTTCCAGCCAAATTGGCCAAAACTTATGGACATTTATTCTTATTTTCTGTATGCCAGTGAAGTTATGGCCTCACAGTGGGCAGGCAATGTACACTTTTACTTAAAAGGAAGCAGGCATTACATTACAGATTTCTATATTCTGAAAACAGCAGCCAAGCAGCTCCTGATACACCTTGCTGGTGCTTGCTTAGAGGCAGCCAAACTGCACCTTTAACCTTCCTCTCGCCTATGAAAACAGAAATCAAGGGAGTCACTGAAGAGAACCGGTGGGAGTCCTGAGTTTCTGGCCTCCTAGGAAGTGCAGCCTCATTCTCTCCCGTGGGGAGGGTATAGGGAAGAGAATTCTCTGCATCCAAAGCCAAGTGAGAGGGTCTCTAAAACATCCACTCATAAATATTGGGCACGTCACCGAAGTTGAGAGATAGATAGGTCATTTCCCAGATGGGTGTCTGCTGAATGACAGAAACTGGTAAGCCTATCCAAGTGCAGCAAAGTGAAGAGAATTCTTGAGCAAATTTAGAGAGAAGTAAGATATTACCTGGAGTTTGGAGACATGTATAAACATGGAAATTGGTGTCTATTTCCTTTCTGGAGAATTCTAAATTTTGAAGGCAGACTAGAGCCAACTAGGAGACCAGGATAAGGTGTAAGAAGCAATGGCTTAGGGGGTTTCCCATGGACAGAAGGGATCTTACAGAAAATAACGAGGCACAGCTGCCTTGATGAGGCCCTGCCAAAGGCCTGCCTTGTATGGCAAAGGGAGTGCAATAGTAAGAGGAAGCCAGGGGTGCCATGAGGGTGGGAGCAGAGGTCTAGTTGGATAATTCAGCCAGAGAGGGCACAGCCTCTGGCAGGAAGTGTGCAAAGCATCAGCCCCATGGGGCCGCCACAGTGTCCTTGCACAGTGGAGGGTGTCTGCTGTAATGGGGCATGGGATGGTGGTGAGGACCAGCCAGGAGACAACTGCAAAGACAATGGGACTCAAGCACTCCACTTTCTTTCTCCAGTCACCCATCCTCCTGCCTGATGGGGAAAGAAGGACTAGCATGAGGGTTGAGGAGGCAGAGCTGGAAGGGAGAGGAGGACTTTTGGAAGGTCCCAGAGTTCAGGCTGAGGCTGAGGCTGAGGTAGAGGAAGGAGAAACTCATACTGAATGTAAGTTTGATATTAGATGGCACCGAACAATGCAACACCTGATATATGTGTCATAGGGACTTTAATAGACTATTCTCCTAGTCTGCATTAATCATAAAGGCAACTGCCTGAGATGGCATCAATAAATCAAGATTGTGGCCAGGCGCGGTGGCTCATACCTGTAATCCCAGCACTTTGCGAGGCTGAGGCAGGCAGATCACTTGAGGTCAGGAATTGTAGATCAACCTGGCCCACATGGTGAAACCCTGTCTCTACTAAAAATACAAAAATTAGCCAGGCATAGTGACACATGCCTGTAATCCCAGCTACTCAGGAGGCTGAGGCAGGAGAATCACTTGAACCTGAGAGGCAGAGGTTACAGTGAGCCACAGAGTGAGACTGGGCCACAGAGCAAGACTCCATCACCACCCCCCCAACCAAAACAAAAGGAAATCAAGATTGCATAATAAGAGGCAGTGATGGGAGGAAAAAAAGTTGTTTCTCATTTGGATCGCAGAGTTCAGCTTGTTAATAAACAAGTTCCATACACAATGAAGCCAGAGACCTCCTATTTCTCACAGGTGAGGGTTGAGTGTGAAGGGAACTTGGAAGGGAGGAAGATCTGGGCTCTTCTTGATGTAAGAGACTGAAGATAGGGCTGGCGAGGGGCAGAGAGTGAGGAGGAGGGAGTGGGAAAGGGGAGGTCAAGATACAGAGAGAAAGACACCCATACCATACAGATAGCAGAAACAGGTGCAAGAAGAGGAGAGAGAGAGAGAGGACAAGGGAAAGAAAGGGAATGATAGAATCAGAGACAGAGAGAGAGAGAGAGAGACAAAGAATCTATAGAAGTGTGAGAGAAGGAAGAGAAGACTGAATGGTAGGAGAAGGAATATTTCAAAGAGATCTGAAAGATTTGTGCATAAGGGAAAAGCCTGGATGCATATTTTGGATACTGGTGAGTATTTTAACAATTTTCAGGCCAGATGTGGTGGTTCATGCCTGTAATCCCAGAACTTTGCAAGGTCGAGGCTGGCGGAAACCCCGTCTCTACTAAAAACAATAATAATTAAAAAAAATAGCTGGGCATGGTGGTGTGTGCCTTTAGTCCCAGCTACTCAGGAGGCTGAGGCAGGAGAATCACTTGAACCTGAGTGGTGGAGGTTGCAGTGAGCCAAGATTGCGCCACTGCACTCCAGCCTGGGTGACAGAGCGAGACACCATCTCAAAACAAACAAACGAACAACAACAACAAAACCAAAACAAAAACCTGCAATTTTCAGCTGCCGGTGGTGGTAGCTGTGGGAGTTAGAATAAGATCCTTCATTCTTTTTTATTTTGCCCCAACATCATCAGAAGAGACACACACACACACACACACACACACACACACAAGAGAAGTCACTTTCTTACCCCAGTGATTGTGTTCATTTTGGTCCATTGGTGTTCCTGAGAAACAGACAGACAAGAAACTTATTTTTCAGTTCTAAATCCTGAAAGATCTTTATTTTTCTTTTCTTTTTCTTTCTTTCTTTTTTTCTTTTTTTTTTTTTTTT